AACTGCAGCTGAGTGGAGCTCTGGGACAGGGACAAACTGTTCAGCGGGGCCTGCAGTGGCAGGACAATGGGCTGCCCAGGGAGCTGGTGGAGGCACCATCCCTGAAGGTGTTCAAGGAAAGGCTGGATGTGGCAATTGTGCCCTGGTCTAGCTGATGTGGTGGTGTGAGGTGAGAGGTTGGACTTGATGAGCTCAGAGGTCTTTTCCAGCCTCAATAGTTCTGGGATTCTGTGTGACAAGGGGTGATGGTTCTTAACTGGAAGAGGAGATATTAGGGAGAAATGTTTTACCACAAGGGTGGTGAGAGACAGGCTGCCCAGAGAGGTGGGAGATGCCCCATCCTTGGAAACATTCCAGGTCAGGTTGGATGGGGCTTGGAGGAACCTGGTCTGGTTGAAGATGTCCCTGATCATGGCAGGGTTGGACCAGATGGGCTTTAAGGGCTCCTTCCAAGCCAAACCCTTCAGTGACATCTTCCCAAGCTGCTCCAGGAGCTGAGCAGCCCCAGATCACAGGGCTTGGTTCTTCCTACTCTGAAGCACCAGGGAAGGCACCACCTGCCCCAGCCCAGCACCTCCCAGCAGCTGGGCTTGGTGGCAGCTCCTGGACAGCCAGCACACCGAGGGGACCCTGCCCATGGGTCCCACCAGCCCCGCTCAGCCCAGCCCAGCCAAACCCCAGCACAGCTCAGAGGAACTCCCTGGTGCTCCTGCCTGAGCTGCTGGGGCAGGAGAAGGGAGAGGGAAGGGGGAAGAGGCAGGGAGGGGCTGGGACACCCACCTGAGCCCCCCCAGTGATGGGGATGGTGCAGGTCAGGAGGTTCCCGATGACGTTCTCCAAGGACACGCTCAGCCCGTCCACGTAGATGGTGTAGATGAGGCCCAGGCTGTTCTGGAGAGGGAAGCAGAGCCTGGCTGAGCAGGGGGGACAGCTGGGGGGCCCAGCCTGGGGCTGCCTCACGGGGAGGGGCTCCCAGGGGTGTCACCAGGCTGTGACTGGCAGCTCTGGGGTGCAGAGCTCCAGGTCTGACCCCTCAGCGGGTCCTCACCACCAACACTGACCCCACCAGCACCTCCCCAACCAACACTGACCCCACCAGCACCTCCCCAACCAACACTGACCCCACCAGCACCTCCCCATCCAGCACCAACCCCACCAGCACCTCCCCAACCAACACTGACCCCACCAGCACCTCCCCAACCAGCACTGACCCCACCAGCACCTCCCCATCCAGCACCAACCCCACCAGCACCTCCCCAACCAACACTGACCCCACCAGCACCTCCCCAACCAGCACTGACCCCACCAGCACCTCCCCATCCAGCACCAACCCCACCAGCACCTCCCCATCCAGCACCAACCCCACCAGCACCTCCCCAACCAACACTGACCCCACCAGCACCTCCCCATCCAACACTGTCCCCACCAGCACCTCCCCAACCAACACTGACCCCACCAGCACCTCCCCATCCAACACTGTCCCCACCAGCACCTCCCCAACCAACACTGACCCCACCAGCACCTCCCCATCCAACACTGTCCCCACCAGCACCTCCCCAACCAACACTGACCCCACCAGCACCTCCCCAACCAACACTGACCCCACCAGCACCTCCCCAACCAACACTGACCCCACCAGCACCTCCCCAACCAACACTGACCCCACCAGCACCTCCCCATCCAGCACCAACCCCACCAGCACCCTCCCCAGCTGTGTCCCTGGGCTGGAGCCCAGTGGGAGCAGCACAGAGTGGGTCCAGAAGCTCCAAGGGCAGAGGTGACTGAAACCAGCTGGACTTCTCCACCACCTCCCCACACATGCCCAGTCCCTGAGAACTTGCATCAAGACCCACAACAATCAGAAAACCATGGAACCCCAGACTGGTCTGGGTTGGGATGGACCTTGAAGATCATCTACTTCCAAAACCCCCTGCATGGGCAGGGACACCTCCCAGCAGCCCAGGCTGCTCCAAGCCCCATCCAACCTGCCCTTCAACACCTCCAGGGATGGGGCAGCCACAGCTTCCCTGGGCAACCTGGGCCAGGCTCTCCCCACCAAGTGTCTCACCAAGAGGAGGAGACACAACTCTCCACCCAGCCAGGCCCTGCTCCACCATCTGGCCAGTGCCCTCAACACGTGCTTTGGCTTGGGCAGCCCCACCGTGGTGGGACAGTTGGACTAGGTGATGGTTGTGGGTCCCTTCCAGCTGAACTGGTCCAGTCTGTCCTACTGGGCAATGGAAGCAGCCCCAGCACAGCAGGTGGGGGCACCAGGCAGGTTCAGCACAAGCTCCAAGTGTAGAGGAATCAGGAATTGGAGGAATCTGCCCCCAGGGCACCCTCTGGGGGGGCTTTTTTAATCTCAAACCATCTCCTCGTGTCAGGGAGGGTTTAAACACAAGCACTGAGACCAGGAGAGGAACCAGCCAACCAGGAGTGAGATCCTGCACATCCCTGGACACACATTCCCAAACACAAGTCCCTGGACACACGTCCCTGAGCTCAGGCTGCTCTCCTGGAGGCTCCATGGAGGACATGGCAGGAGATGTGGGAACAGGCACCTTCTCCCAAGTGCCAGAGGGACAGGTAGGATCTTCTGCCCCTCGATCCTGAGGGATGGAGCCCAGCCCAGCCCCAGGGGGTGGGAGCTCAGCCCCACAGCTGTGCCCAGCAGTTCCTGCTGTGACATGGGGACAGCCTGGCCTTGTCCCAGGCTAGTGGCAGGCCCCTGATCCAGCACTGTGTCCACCAAGAGGAGCACCAGCTCCAGGTCTTGGCCTACAGAGAGACCTGATGAGAGAAGGAGCCACAACAACCTGACCCCTGGGCTGGGGACAGCACAGGCTGCACTTCATGTTCAGCCAGTGCAAGAGCCAAGTCCTGGGGATGCACATGGACCTCCTGGGGCCATTCAGAGACATGGGAATGCTCAGAGACCTTCTGAGGTTGTTCAGAGACCTTCTGGGGTTGTTCAGAGACCTTCTGGGAATGCCTACAGACCTTCTAGGGACACTCAGAGACCTGGGGATGCTCACAGACCTTTTGGGAGCAACAAAGAGACCTTCCAGGGTTGCTCAGAGACATTTCTACATTTGTGTCACAGCTCAGTGTGCCCAAAAAACAGGACTGCAGTGCTCTTCTCACTCCTCTGTTCCTCAGAACCCACCGAGGTGGGTAATTCAAGCACCTGAGGCTTGAAATCAGGCAGCCAAGGGACCAGAGCAAACACTGTGGGGCCTCCTGAGGAGCCCAGCCAGGGACCTGGAGGGGCTGGGAACCACTTCAGCACAGCCCCCAGGAGAGAAGCTCTGGCAGGAAACACCTTCTGACCCACGTTCTTCCAGAGTCCTCCCCAGGCAGGACCAGCTCTGGCCAAGCAGGAGGCCCAGCTGGCCTGGCTCTGCCTGGGACCAGGAGCAGCAATTCCAGCTCCAGGGAACATCAGTCCTGGTGTCCTGGTCACCTTGGCCCAGGTGGGAGCATAAGTGTCCCATGCAACTGTCACTGCAGCATTCCAGGACCTGGAAGGGCTGCTGGAAAGCTGGGGAGGGGCTTGGGACAAGGGCAGGGAGGGATGGGAGCAGGGGGAAGGGTTTCCAGCTGGCAGAGGGAGCTGGAGCTGAGATGGGAGGGAGAAATTGTGGGCTGTGAGGGTGGGGAGAGCCTGGCCCAGGTTGCCCAGGGAAGCTGTGGCTGCCCCATCCCTGGGGGTGTTGAAGGGCAGGTTGGATGGGGCTTGGAGCAGCCTGGGCTGCTGGGAGGTGTCCCTGCCCATGCAGGGGTGGGACTGGATGGGCTTTGAGGTCCCTCCCAATCCAAACCAGTCTGGGATTCTATTTCTGGGCTGTGCCCTGCTCTGGAACCTGGTGTTCACAGCCCTGTGACTGGGAGCACATGATGTTCCCTCAGGGTGCTCACTGCTCAGGAGCTGCTGCTGGGGGAGGAGGAAATCTCTCCAGTCCCTCCTGGAGCTGCTTCAAGCAGCAGAAATGTTGGGCTTTGCAGACTCACAGCCCCAGCCCATCTAAGCAAGGTTGGTGGCACCTCTGGAGGTCTCTGGTCCCACCCTGGCTGGAGCAGGGGCAGCTGGAGCAGGTTCTCCAGGGTATGTCTAGTTGGGGTTTGGATTCTCTCCAAGGATGGAGACTCTACAAGTTCTCGGGGCCACCTGTGCCAGTGTCAGACCAGCCCTGCAGTGAACAAGGTCCATGTGGGTGGGTTTATTAGGAGAGTTGTGTGACCCTCAGACATGGCTGGTTTGGGGCTAGAACAGGGCTGGACTGTCACACAGGAGGGAGCCTGGATCATCAATCCAGTGCCCTTGTTCATGGAATCCCAGACTGGTTTGGGTTGGGAACTTAAATCCCACCCAGTGCCACCCCCTCCATGGGCAGGGACACCTCCCACCAGCCCAGGCTGCTCCAAGCCCCATCCAACCTGCCCTTCAACACCCCCAGGGATGGGGCAGCCACAGCTTCCCTGGGCAACCTGGGCCAGGCTCTCACCACCCTCACA